GAGAGAGAGAGAGAGAGAGAGAGAGAGAGAGAGAGAGAGAGAGAGAGCATGTCTGCAGCCCTAGGCCCTAGGAATGGGGTAAGAAGTGGAAAAAAACAAACTGACGGGTATCAAACTAAAAAGCTGTGGCTCAGTAAAGGACGTGAGAATAGGCAATCTCTAGAATGGGAGAAAAGATTTGAAAACTACATCTGATGAGTAAGTAGTTAACATCAAAATAGTTAAAGAATTCAAACAAATATAATAAAAATAAGTAAAAAGATAATACCTAATAATCCTATTGAAATGGGCTAGTTCGTTTACAAAGGAAAGCATACCAAGGCCAACAGGTGTATGTAATATACGTCCCTAATCCTGAAGGAGTGCAAATCCAAACCACAGTGTTATCTCACGCCAGAGGGAACAGCTATTATTAGAGATAAGATATCAAGCACTGGTGGAGATGTGAAGAAAAGAGACCTCTGGGACATTGCTAGTGTGAACGCCAACCTATGCATCCACTGGGCAGTCAGTGTGTAGCTTGTAGGGAAAATAAAAACAGAACTGTCACATGAGCCAACAATGTCATTACTGGGAATGTCAGAAAAGGAAGCAGCGTCAGTCAGCACTGGGCGGGAAAGCTAGCTGAAGGTGAGCTTGTGCGCAAGCTTTCCTCCACGTTCTCAACAGGGCTTGACTGGGCTGCATTAGCCAAATAAACCAGTTCCTCCTCGAGTTGTTTCAAACTCCTCTTCAGGAGGAGAACCTTCGTAATTTACCCAGAGACGTTCCAGGAAACACGTGCTTTGAACCCTTTAGGGAGAATGGGTCCAGGCAGAAAGCGTCCCTGATCGTACCCAGGTCTCTGGAACAGCCGTCTCAGTCTCCAGTCCTCCCAAAGGATGAGCACCAGGCGAGCAGAGGACAGCTGCGCAGGCGCAATCGGTGCTTCAGTCAGCCGCTCCGCCCAGCCCGGAATCAGACCGGTTCTTGGTCCGCCTGCGCCGAGCGATCGCTTGCCGAAGGCCGCCGCGCAGGCGCAGTTGGTTCTGTCTGGCACCAGCTCTACCCCACCAATCTCCGAGCTCCCAAGCCCAGACTCGCGGACCGCTGCTGCGCACGCGCAGTGCAGTGCTGGCGGCTCGGCTCCCGGGCGTAAGGCGGGCTGCTTCTCAAGTGTGTTTCTCAAGCGCTGACGGGCCGCGCTGGCGGACCCCGGCTCTGGCGACAGCACGGAGGCGCAGGCTGTGTCCGATGGCTCGGGGCCGGGCACCGCCAGTCCCCGGACGGCCCCTCCGGTGACGGTGCTGGTGATGCGGCAGGACGAGGCCGCGGCGGAGAGCGCTCTGAGGCCGGGCCTGGCGGGGAGCGAGGCGGCGGCGGACGCCGAGGACGAGGCGGGGGAGGACGACGCCGACTTACTGGACACATCGGACCCGGCGGGCGGCGGCGAGAGTGCGGCCAGCCCGGAGGAGCTGGAGGACGAGGATGCGGAGGGTGGCGGCGCAGTGCGCAGGCGAGGCTCTAAGACCTGCACCTACGAGGGCTGCCGCGAGACCACCAGCCAGGTAGCCAAGCAACGCAAGCCCTGGATGTGCAAGAAGCACCGCAACAAGATGTACAAGGACAAGTACAAGAAGAAGAAGAGCGACCAGGCACTGGGCTCTGGCGGCCCCTCCGCGGCTAGCACAGGCAACGTCAAACTGGAGGTATGCTCCTCAGGCCCCGGGCCAGGGCAGGTGGGTGTCACCCGACTTTGTACACACGCAGTGAGCAGACAGTGAGAGCCCCAGCTGACATTGGCTCTTTGGGGGTGATCTGCTCCTCTGTTCAGTAACTCCTTCCCAGTCTCTACCCTGTGGCATCCTGCATGTTTACATACCCTGTTCTTGGGTTTCTGTAACTTTAGTGACCTTGTTTTTCTTAGACTTCCCTGGCCCCCGAGAAAAGTTGGATTGGCAGTGGGGTCGTAACTCACAGAGCACTTTGGCGTTGCTTGATCCAAGTCAAGCATGGATATCTTCTGAGGAAGCCAGTGATCTGTAATTGCGATTCTGCTGCTACCTGTGTGGGCTTAGGTCCCCTATTCATCTCGCTTAAGTCTTCCTCATCTTTTCCGCTTAAGGCTTCCTCATCTTTTGGCCTAAAAATAATGCCCAATTAGTGTTTCTTAGGATTTATTTTGGTTAGATGAAAATTATAATTGGTGTGCATTTCAGCTCAAAACCAGCAAAGGCCACCTATACATATTAGAACTGTTTAAAAAACAAAAACAAATCCGTAAAAAGTAGAAAGACTCTTTACCACAGACATTCCTTTTGAAGGGGTCCTTCTAACATATGTGGAGGTTTGGCCTAGATGACTGAAAATTATTTCTACGATAAGCGTCTTTTGATTTTTGTGGTACTAACATCATCCTACCTACCAAACACAAGGCCTGGAGTTATGAAGACATAGGGTTCTCTACAGTCAAGTCAGCTCTAGTATTCCTTTGTACATAAAGAAACAGGCCTATAAGTAAGGGTAACTGGGGAGAGTTAGAAGAAGAAATTGTCTTTGCTTTTGTGATATTAGAATCCTCTTTTATAGTTCTTAAGATTTTGAGACCTAAAACATGTATGTATGGAAACCTTTTTATAACAAAAGTTTGCTAAGCATCTCATGATAAAGGTGGGAAGGGGATATTTTAATAGACAACACAGAAGCCAGTAGATAAAAGGCCAAGACCAATAATAATAATAATAAATATTATTATTATTTATATAGGCATGGCCTCATGGTAAAGCATTTCGTTTAAGTACAGCAAGTCCTTTTCTTTGCATGGCAGGGCCCTAGATTCAACCCTTACTCAATCTCTCCCAATTTTGTCATAGTGTGGTTTTATTATGGGCTGAATGTTTCACTTAACTTTAGCAACATTCTTTTATGTGAGGAAAAGTCCAATATTTAGATTATTTCATATATGGGATTGAGCATTACTGAATTGAAATGGGCTTCAGTGTCTGAGGGAAAGGTTGCTATTGCAGAACTTGCCCGTTTGCTCTGTAGTGGTGACCTCAGAGCTGTGATCTCTGGCCCCTTCCACCCAAGTTACTCTGAAAGCTGTTTGCTTCCGTAAGCAGTGTTTTACTGCCGCTCTCTTCTTGTGGGTGTGAATCCATTATGAATCCAGTACTTCATTAGCCTCTGAGTTAATTTATTTTGTCCAAAAGCAGGCAGACTGTTTGGACTAAGACTGTTCTATATGAGGAGATTTCCATGTCATATAGACATTCTCTCGACATTCTTCTGTAATATTGAAAACAGCTCCTAGGTCACTACCTTTCCCTCTGTCTAGTAGCTTCAGTGTGAGGCCTTACAAGAAACTGAGGAGCCTACACGGGAGAGCCTGTAGGGAGGCGGAGTGCTACTTAGAGTGCATCACCGGCACCTGTGACTTACCTAGAGGCTTTCCTAAAGTTCCATGGAAACTGAACAAAAAGCAAAAGACCACAAAGAGATGTTCATGTCACTGAAGTACCTGCCGTTGTGGGTTACAGTACTGTATTAAATGTTCTATCATTGATCCCAGGAAAGCACAGACAACATACTCTCCATTGTCAAGCAGAGAACAGGATCTTTTGGGGATCGCCCTGCAAGACCTACTCTTTTAGAGCAAGTGTTAAATCAGAAAAGACTGGTAAGTGCTTGTCACGTAGTTGCAGACCTGTTAGTGAAAACTGCTTGTTTTCAATGGAACTGTTTTTCCTTTGTAAGACGTTAGAAGTAGTTGACTGGCCATCAGAACTGCATAGTGCCTTGTCACTGGACACGGTGACACCCTCCCCCTCCTTCCAGGACTGCAGGGAGAGGAACACCTTTAGCCCTGTTTTCTTCACTGACTACCCTTTGACTGAGCAAGATGAGATTTTAAAACATACTCTAAGTATATGGAATAGTACTGTAAAGACATTGAGATATAATTACTAATATTTAATAAGGGTGTCTGATACACAACTGATATAAATTACCAGATGTCAATCAGGAAAGGGACGATTATTTGATAAGATATTGAAATATTTGGATAGTAATTTGAAGGAGAGAGAGAGAGACTTTAACTCATGATATACTTTCTATGTAAGTTTTTGGTAGAATATTAGAAAAATATTTTAAAATGAATTTAGATTTTATCTCAAACTTCTACAGTAAGGTTTTATAATATTAAAGAATTACAAAGAAAAAATTTTCAACTTGACAACATAAAATTAGACAAAGACTGCTAATTTTAAATTGCTGCGTGACATAGGAAAAATAAGTAATCAGATATAAAAGACTGGTCAGCATGGTTGATACTTTGTTATAAAAACATCTCAACACTTGAAAGACTTGGGCTAGGAGCATTGTTTTGAGTTCGAAGCCATCCTGGCTACAGTGTGAGACCTGTTCTCAAACAAAAAATGGATAATTCTATTAGTAATCCTTTTTCCTCTTTTCTCTTTAAGTCATTACTAAGAAGTCCAGAAGTTGTCCAGTTTTTGCAGAAACAGCAGCAGCTACTAAATCAACAGGTTTTGGAGCAAAGACAGCAGCAGTTCCCTGGAGCGCCGGTATGAGGGCTTAGGAAGTCTGCTGTGCTTTACCTTGCTGTAATGGATGGGTGTGCTTTTAGACTAAGACGATGCCCTGATAATCAGGCATTGGTGGTGTACATGTGGAATCCCTGAACTTGGAAAACTGAGCCAAGAGGATCCCAAGTTCAAAGCCAGCCTGGGCTACATAGCAAGTTCCTTTCTCAAAAAAGAGAAAGAGAGAGAGAGAGAAATAGAAAAACTACTTTCCTGTAAATGTGTGTGTGTGTGTATTTGAGGATAAATAAGTATTAATTTTTTGCATTTAATTGTTTCATATCACTATGAGTTTCAAAAAAATCACCTTTATAGTTTTTAATGTTTTTCTTCAGTTCTCCTTACTGAAGCTAATGAGGCAGTTACTTTCTGTGGAAGTCATAAAAGTAATAGTAATATCAACACCTAGTGCTGTGATTCTCATCAAGAAGCACTGTAAAGGAATGGTATGTTTTGGGTTTTCACAATGGCCTTGTACTAGGCTGTAGTGAGGGGCCAGGAATCTTAGCGTTCTGCAGCATCTGTGGTATTCCATCAGCTACATGTAACCTTGCCAGTAATGCGCCTCAGGTGCATTGATAACCTGAGGCCAGCACAAGGTCAGGTGCTCGTAGTAACCTTTCTGTATAGTTCAAGTGGAGTTCTGAAAGCTAAGCATGTTTACACTCTGAGGTCTTCAGTGACTAGAGAGAGAGAGAGTCCATTAAAGTTGGTGCCTCCGTGGTTGGGGGGGGGGTCACTCTCCTTTAAAGCAGGTCGAATTGTGAACAATTCAGATATACTCAGCCCAGCAAGGCTAGGACAGAGTTAGTTTTCTTATAGTCATTCTTAATGTTCTTCATAAAGGAGATCCTGAAGGTAGATTAACACTCACTTATTGTCAGTGCTTTTCAAAATTGAGCACTTATTCCTAGCTACTGTTAAAGGAATGATGCGTTATCTGGGTACTTTTTTTTTTTTTTGTACTTTTTCCTAGGAAAACTTTAAAGAGGCAAAAATATCATAAGATACAGTATCAGATGTCAAGAGAGTATATCCAGGAGTAAGTTAATAAGTGAGTCAAGGCCAAATGTGTCAGTTGGTTGATTCCTAAACCTTGAAATATATACGATGTTAAACTTATAGCTATGATAAGAACTCACAGGGCTACAGATGCAGCTTAGCCTTACTGTGCCTGCCTAGCGTGTGCAAGGCCCTCAGCCCACTCCCACCCTCACCACCACGATAAACAGATGCAAGGAGAAGAGTGATTTTCTTCATTTTTGTTCTATACTTGTGTATCTGAAAAAGACCCTTTGCCAAAATTATTCAATAAAGGCCAGCTGTTGAATTTCTGAGTTGTCTGTCGCTTCTTTAGTTGCTTCACCCTGGCTATAGAGGAATTTACTCAGTGTTTGGTACTGTACTTACAGTTCTGGAGCCTTGTTGTCTCGAGGCCTACATGCCTTTCTACTCTGTAGCCCATGAGCCACACGGGTCCCAGCGTGGCTATAAGTTTTCCCAATACATTTGTAGTGACAGTGTCATGTTGCAGTATCAAAGTGTTGGAACTTTTGTAACAGAATAGCCCAGCTTACACTGCTTCAGATAGTAAGTAGGAAAGTGTGTCATGAACAGAGAAAAGTGAAAGGGGATTAGATTTGTGTTTTAAGAACCTGGAGATAGCTTAAATGCTTGTTAAGCCCTAAAGTAGATCACCGAGGGGCTGAGAGTCTTTGTCTAGGGTATTAAGAGTGAAGTAGAGATACCCATTCATGAAGTTAGACAGGAAGTGGGATCGTTTTCAGTACAACTTAATTATTACCTGTCACATTGGAAATGCCTGTCCCCTTAAAGCCTGTCAGGTTTTTGCTTTAGATGGATTGCAGTTTGTCCACTTTCCTATTCTGTATATTGATGGCTTTTGATAGGCAACTGTAGCTTCTTCCATCATGAGGTTTTTATTTACCTATCTCTTAATTCAGGATTAACTGACATGGGACTTGTTTTGGCCAGTATAGAGCAGAAGAAATAATGGTGTGCTAGCCTTAAGACAAACCATTTACCATAGTAATAAGCCCAGCCTAGCCCAACAATGTTGGGATAACCTCCTGTGCACTGTGTGGAAGCATCACCTGTCGATAAAATGCTGTTGGCCTGTTAGTCAGGAAATAGGGAGGTGTACTTTCCAGGAGGGAGACAGGATTCTGGGATAGAGTCCAGACTGGGAGATTCTCCACACCCCAACTCTGAGGAAGATGGTCACATGAAACTGAGGAGAGGTAGTCAACCACATGGCAGGATTTAGAATAAATGGTATAAGTTATAAGCTAGTCAGGGAACAAGCCCTAGCTTATGGCTTAAGCATTCATAACTAAGTCTCAGAGTCATTATTTTGTGAACTTGGGTCCAGGTAGAAAAGCCTTCAGTTACTCAAATCTTAGTAAATCAAAGGTACATGGTATGATCTCTGTTGTACCATCTGATAGCCTGACACATGTCAGTGAGACTGACATAAACTAGCCATCCCCTGGGAGATAAGTTTGGTGCCAACCTAGCCCAACTAAGCCTTGCTTAGATGTGCAAAACCACTCTGTAAATTGGAAAATAGCTACTAAAGTCTTAGCATTGAAGGCATAGAGTAGGGGTGCTCTAGTCAATATTTATGGTATAGCGAGTAACTGGTACACTTAGTAAAGTTATTTTCACTGGATGGCAAATTTTAAAATTGGCAAACTCGATCAGAGAAGACAGTGAAGGTAATACATACTAAGCTCCTACCTTGCAAGAAGTAGATGTGATTACAGAGGGGCAGGAAAGGGAAATAACCTAGCCCTCATGATCTAGAAAAAGAAAATGTATTTTCCTCTAGTGCCTCCAGAATTAGCATGCCAGCACCTTAACATTGGTACAGGGAGACTAATTTCAGACTTGTAGTTTTTGTAACTACATTTATGGTACATTTTTTTAACAGCAGCAAAGTGGTAAGGCTCAGCTCATTGGGTTACATACACAGCACGCTAGAAATGCTGTTGTGTCTTCTGATAGAATACTAGCTTATATACCAAGCCACTAAACCGCCTGAAATACTTTGAACTGTAAGAGGATTAATTACTCAGGTTAAACTGCATCCCCCAGTATTCTCGAACAGAACACTGATTGTACGTTATGTAGACTCTGCACCTTACTGAGGCTTTCCGAACCCCAGTCGACTGGAAACTGTAAGCCTTAGGATCAGTGGGACAGCTTGGGGCAGAGGAAACAAACAGTAGCTTGTAAACACTTCATAGTCATTTGCAATTTCACAAGCTTCTCTTAGAAAACATTTTAATCAGTTAAACATATTTCATGGCATATGAAAAATAAATGATTTTTAGTGAAAGTTTCCTTATATATCCAGGTGTTTCAAGCATCACAGCTAATCATCATCTTAATAAACACACGGTCCTTGGTGGACACGGTTGTTAAGTTGCTCAGATAGGATACTCAAATGACAATGTGTGTTCAATTCATTTTTAATAACAATAGCTTCACCATACAAAGGCTTGTAGTAGTGTGCCCTGGTGCTAGGCTGGGGAGCAGCAGTTAAAAACCTCTAAAAGTTCTGCAAAGTATCATGAAAGTTACATGTGTAATGCCAAATATTCCAAGATGTCTTCTTTTTACAGCATGAAGATTTCTTGAAAATCCCATTTTCTAAGCAGAACGGTTGATGATTAAGCATCTTAAGGAGCCACAGATCATATACATAGAAGTATTTCCTAGAGTTTGAAAGAAAAATAAGCCAAGAGGTCTATCACAGACTACCAGATGAAGGTGTATGGCATTCCAGGACAGAAGGCTAGGCTGCTGGGAATCAAAGACTACTCTTGACAGTCTGTTTTATATTCATGTGAACTTATCTTTAACATATGTGAGGGTTACCTAACCTTGCACAGTTCGGCTCTTGACTAGCAGGTAAGACGATGTGGAATGCGTGTTATATTTTACTTTATTAAATACATACATGAAATATCTGGAACATATGAAGAGTTAAGCAGGAGCTTGAAGTCCAGCAAGCAATGTTTATAAAATGCTTTTGCTACTCTTCTTACTGTTGTCGTAACTCCATCCTTAGAACACAATGAAAAGAATAGTCTAAATGCCAGAGAGTTTGCCATTTCTTCTGACTGTACAACACAACACCAAAGTGTGTATGTTAAAAAGGTGGGGTCTTCTTAGTTCGGAAGCAGCTGTTATCATTTAGCTGAAGCAAACTGACCATGTCTTATTTTTAAGACTCACAAATGCTGACTTGTACAGTGGTAAACATTCTGGATCTTGTGGGCAGGCCAAACTGATACAGTTCTCCATTGTGTGACCCTGCCCAGGGCAGCTGGAGGCACACTTGCAGTGTGTAAAGGCCTGGCTGCCCACTTTCCCTTTATCCTGTAAAACAACATATGCAGCATAGTTTTGCTTGTCAGTCCCATGGAATGATTGCCACGTGGTCACTCAGAGGAGTTGAAGTCAAGGATTATATTATGATATTTTTAGATCTCTTAGCAGCCAAGGGGGAGAAAAATCATTAAAATGTGACTATGTTACGCGAGCATAGGGCATACATCTCTTCAATGCTAAATTCTCTGATAATATACATATGAACCTATGTCATAATTCCTTTCTCAATATTTTGTCTGATTTCTTAGCACTGCAAGGACATCCAAGTAGTGTATTTGGTTTTTTTAGTTTTGTTTTTAAGCTTCTACTTCTGTTTAGTTTTACTTTGCTTTGTTTTGAGACAGGGTCTCAATATAGAGCCCTGGGTGTCCTGTAACTCCTTATATAGACCAGGTCAGGCCTGAACTCACAGAGATCCACCTGCCTCTGTCTCCCTACTGCTGAGATTAAAGGCAGGCACCACCACACCTGGAAGCTACATATTACCAAAGATAGTTGGCCGATTGTGAGGAGATCAAGAGTCATTAGAAATCTGGAACAAATCCTTTCTCCTTGGATGGGTACTCAGAGAGGATCTGCCATATGCATGTCTTTTCCAAGGAAGAAGCCAGGAGAAATATCAGAAAAATAGGTATTCCAGGAGGTGGGGTGGCTAGGAGTGAAAGTAGTTATGCAAAGATAAATTACCTAATTGTTCTGAGGCAATGTAAAATTCCATTATAGGAAGAGTTAAGAACTCGATTCCATTATCTTTCAAGCCCATTAAAATTCACGTGTGGGTTTTCAAAGTTCTGAGACCCGATGTCTGTGCAAATGGTTTACTGTTAGATGTCCGGCATTGTGGCTGTGGGGACAGCCTCTAGTGTGCATTGGATTCCACAGCACCTGACACTGTACTCAGTACACGTCAGTGCACACGACAGACTTAAAGAATCAACATGCTTGGGGTTTTTTTATATACTCTTTAAGTGGTATTTTGAGATGAAATGAGTGTTTTCTGATATATATGAATGATAGGTTTTACAGATAGAGTAGGCATCGTGAGTTCTATCTTAAATACAATTGAATGGGAAACAAGAAAAATGTACATTGATGTGAGGCAGAATGGATTAAATGAAGGCAACTCAGATTATGGACACTCTGTCCTTGAAACCATAAATGCCATCCTAAATAATGTGCTTCTCAAAGGGCCTGAAGTAAAAGTAGAAGCAATGGGGTGATGGATGAGTGGCATGTACCTTGAAGTCTGGAGGATATTTCCCTTTATCATCCAACGGAGGAAGTAACAAGCTTTAATACATGCACGCTGATATATGCATGTATGTATACATACATAAGGTGTTTTTCAAGGTGCTTTATTATTCTCTACCATTGTTAACTCAAAGAAATGTAGGGCGTATGAGACATTCCTACTTCACCTGGGAAGCTATATCCAGGTATTTCATAGTTTTAGAAGAGGCTGCACAGATGTTACCAGCTCATAACACAGGTGCCAGATTGAGAAATGCATACGTATGATCCAGTGATACCTCTAGCCTTCCCCCAAGGCTTTGCTGTTTTTTGAATCACCCAATTGATATTTGTCACCAGGAGGAAAGATGAGGCAAAGGATGCCCTGCCTCATAGGCTTCAGTAGGGGGATGCAGGAGAGTGCAGGTAGCCATGTGACTTCCCACCCAACCTTCCAGTCTACAGCTTCATCTCTGCACGGGGTTTGCAGTGTCCACAGGGCGGACAGCCATCTGCAAGGTCAGACAGGAGGAACTGGAAGACTGGAAGCTGACTTCCAGAGTGGAAGCAGGAGCCCCCTGCGCTCCTGAGCCTGAATTCTGGGCTAATCCTGCTCTTAGGATTATGGCTGGACTCAGGCCATTTTCCCATATGAGCCTTGGTTTTGTTTGTTTGTTTGTTTGCTTGTTTACTTGCTTGCTTGTTTTAACAGTGGTAGGTTAAGGCAACCTGACTCTAAGCTTCACAGTTTCTCCCTTTCCGATCACAGTTTAGATCTGGTTATATGTACCTGACATCAGCACAGTACCTGGCTATACATATTTTAACTTCAAATATAAAGATTGTGTGGCTTATCTCACAGATCTCTGGACAAGCTTGGTTTTTATTTCTTGCCATTCACATTGCAGGTGAGGTCTTCTTACAACTATGTGGGTTTGATTGATTTTGCTCTAGTGCTCCTATTATTTTTCTATGTAAGCAGCTTTGTGTTTTCTGTATGGGGCACAACCCTCTGTAGAGTGACGAGCTGAATCAGTGGCCTTCGGTTCTGCCAGTGCCTTTACATCCTGTTTCCCTCTCAGAAAAGACGTGGCTTCTAATCAGAGCACTAGCCTGGAAAACATGCTTCTTCAACCCACAGCATTAGCCCCCTTAAGTAGGAGCACAAAACAAATGGTGATGAAAATATGACTCGTATGCATACGTATTTACATCTGCATCCAGAACCCTGTATGAGCTGTGAGCTGCAATGATAGAAGCCCCTGCCTGCGTCTACTCTGGAAATGTAGCTGACCACATGACTTAAGACACTGAAGAAATAGGGTTATGTGGGGAGCCCATCTGAGTTAGCACCTTGTCCAACCACTGCAGCGGTCCATGAAGATGAATCTCAATCCAGCAGGGGGTGCTTGTGACATCTTGGCGATGATACTCGGCTCCCCAACCCTGCAAAGGGAGAAAAGAGCCCAGACTGAATTGTAGCTTCTCACCAGATGCCACCAGGCAGTGCACAAAGAACACAGGGTCCCGGGCTTGCCGTGAGAAGTCAATGCCTCAGAGTGGTCCAGGTCAGGCAGGGTAGTCTCTGTTAGCTCATTTACACCCAGTCACCCATTTAGTGGTGCCTGGGGCTCTACACACCACATGGGAGAGGCTGGAAGCCCTCTCCCCATTACAAGGAAAGAGGCCTCATGCCTCATGCCCTACTCTTCATGCAGAAGCCTGCGTCTGTACAAAACTACTCACTAAAGACCAGAGATTGGGCCTGAAAGCTGCAAAGATCAGTAACTCTTGATTTTGAGAGTGCAATGTCAGAGCTTAGAGCTTATTTCTTGCCTGTCTCAGGCTCCCTCAGAAATTTCCCACTTCTCCCAATTAGTAGGAGAGGCAGTTACTAAAATGACAGATAAATGATAGATAAATAGGTAACTAGATAGATATCTAGTGATTGATAGATACAGACACATAGATGGTAGGTGATACAAATTGATTGACAGATGATAGATAAGGCTATACAGAGGGTGGACGGTCATATTTATTTCTAATATGCTGTTCACCAATGGAAAGTTACTTAAGCAGTAAGGGGGGATTTCACACTGTTTATTCTTGATAACCATGATTCTTCAGAGTTGTCTAAACTCTTTAGCGCAGTGGCTGGAAAGAAGCCTCAGTGGTTAGAGCACTGGCTAGTCTTAGAGAACCAGGCTTTGTGTCTCACCACCGGCGTGGCAGCTGACAACCATCTGTAAGTCCACTTCCAGGGGATTTCGAGCCCTCTTTCTGGCCTCCGAGGGCACCAGAGCTCAGTATACAGACATGCGTGCATGCAAACACATACGCATAAAAACGGCTCTTCTTAATCATTCATCATAGCCACGCTGCCTGGCCACTCGTGACCGCCACCCTCCGTGCGCTTGTGGTAGCTCCTGGCAGCTGCCTAGTCCCTGGGACTCCTTTCTGTTTCTTCCATCTCTGATTTTCCCAGAAACCTCGACAGGAACCTCTAACCCTCTGATTTTCAACTTGACCTTGTCACAATCAAAATTTACACTCAAGAGCTATACAATTGAACCACAGAGCCAGGGAAATCTTACAACGTTTTAAGTAGATCATATTCATAGCTGTCCTCAGCTTACATTCAGCCAAAAGGCAGTAGCTTAGACATGCCTGCATCTAAGAATGAAACTACCAGAGACATAAAATATCACCCATACCTGCACCCACTTATACAGCAACAGATTATCCTTCTACACAGCTCCACCCGCTGATTCATGGGCCTTCCCTCAGGCTTGCATGGTGGCTACTTTTCTCTTCCCTGGACTCTAATGTTGATTCTGGAGCTCAGTTCTAGGATCACAGCCCTCTGTGCTTAAATTCAAACCTGTGGTCTCACCACATGAAGCTACATATCATCCAAATAAGGACCATTCCCAACTTACATCTCCAGTTCTGGCCACTCTCTCCAAACAGACTCTCCAGTCTCTGCCACCTCAGCATCTTCTTGTGAATGTGATTGGTGCACCTTGGCAGCTGCAGTGACTTACACTGAACCCTGAGCCTTGTTTGCACGCCACGCCCACTTGCATCTGTTCCATCTTGCTGGATGACAACCCGTGTCATTTCTAGCTCTCCTCCTCAAACCTGCCTTCTGACTGGGGGTCCCCTACTTCCCCCAGCTCTGCAGGTGTTCTCATGGTAGAAGTGACCCTCATTTCCCATTGTTTTATTTTATATGTATGGGTGTTTTTGCATTAATATAGAAGCACTATGTGTATGCAGTGACTGTGGAAAGCCAGAAGAGGGCGCCAGGTCTCCCTGGAACTGGGGTTGCAGATGGCTGTAAGGATGTTGGGAATTGAACCCAGGTCGTCTTCCTTTCCACCTCACCTGCAGCATAGCATGCCTTTTCTCCACTTAGCAGCCAGAATGACCCTTTAAAGACAGGACGAAGCTAAATGTGGCGGTACATGCCTGTAACCCCAGCAAGAGAGAGAACGAGCAGGAAGACATGGAGTTCCAGGCCAGTTTGAGCTACACAGAGCGATCCTTTCCCAAAACAAAGGAAGGAACAAGTCAGAACAGGAAACTCCTCTGTGCAAAGCCTCAGAGCATCAGAGAGTGCTAAGCTGCACTTGCCCTCAGGAAGTGCTTCCATCTCATTACCCCCACCCCACACCCCCACTCCACCGCAGAAGGCTGCAGTCACCCAGCTCTGCTTCCCTCCCATAGCCAGGCTCATAGCTGCCACGGGCTCTGAGCTTGCTTTTCTCTCAGACTCTACTGCTTTCTGCACAGAGGACCCTGTCCTCCAGGCCTCTGGGACACACCCTGCTTCAGTGATGTTTCCCCTGCTGCAACCTCTCTCTTTTCCTTTACCCATTCAGTTCACTTACTGCCTGTCTTGCTACCCGTTCACTGGTTTCATAAGGCAGAGGCCTGGGAATAACCAACTGTCCATCATCCCAACGTCCAAGGCTGCTCCTGATCCAACTATTTGCTGGCAGCTGCTCAATAAATAGTTGTTAACTGGCTAAAAGAAGGAGAGCTATGGCCAGTAAAATCAGAGCTGACAAAGACCTTAAAGATGGTCTGGTCTTTTCACTTACAACGGTCACCACCCGTGTCTAGTCATTTGAACGAACTTAATCATTGACAGTTTGTATTTTGTTTCAGTCCTTGCAGGACTGGCAATGAGTCTTTGTGCTAAAGTGCTTGCCTAGCCCATGCAAGGACCTGAGTTTCTTCCCTATTATCACAGGGAGGAGCGGGTCGGGGATTGGGGGAGCCCATAACAGCAGTAGCAGCCTGTCTCTCGTGAATTACATTTTGTAGCTCTATACATTTGTTGTGTATCTGAGAAACACTGAGTTGATGTTGGGAAGTGATCATATGTCTACGCATGCTTGTATTGCAGTAATTACCAATGAGATACCAACAACTCATCCTAAAAAACATGGTTCTGGGAAATATAACTGTCCCATTAATGGTCAGCTCACTAATTGCAAGGTAGTGCCCCCTGCTGGCTACAAAGTAACAGTGCACATGGACATTTTCCAGGGATTTTCTTTCTGCTTTGAATGTCAAAGATAGAATAAAGCAGTTTTGTCAGCATGAGAGAGGAGTCTTTAAGAAGACATCTTTAAATTCAAAACTTTACATGTTCATCCTTCTTTTTAAAAACAATTATTAAAATTATCAATATTAGAAAATATAATTTGGATATAAAAAAAATAGAACATTTATTGATCAAGGTAACTAACTTTAAATGGCTAATAAAACTTATTTTAAGGCTAGGAATATAGCTCAGTAGATGGCACTTACCCAACTCACTTCATGAAGCCCTGGGTTTCATCCCCAGCTTTTAAAAAGGGAAATGGGACCTGGAGAGACGGCTCAGCGGTTAACAGCACTGGCTGTTCTTACAGAGGACCTGTGGTCCCAGCACCCACATGGCAGCTCACAACCATCTAGAACTCCAGTTCCAGGGGAATTGATGCCCTCTTCTGGCATTTTTGGGCACTGCATGCACGTGGAACACATACATGCAAACAAAATACCCATACACATAAAATCAAAATAAATTTAAAAGAAAACGCAACAGTCATCCTCCTCCTCTGGATGGGGTTTGTGAAAGCTTATACACAGCACAGAGTCTGAGATTTTTAAATATCAGGGTGATTTCCCTGAATCATTCATATCTACTTCAAGGTTTGCACCCCACTTTGTGCCAACACTGACTAGTGCTGTCTTCGAGTAGAGACAGTTCTCATCTGTAATTTATCTATAAATGTATTCCCTACATTTGCCTGGCAGCTTTCCCAGCTGAGAGGATGATGTTATTCTTTCGCTGTGGGACAGCAGTGCCTGGTGTCTGGGAGACAGACAGGAAATCTCTGCAGCATTCGATCCTGTCCTTCATTGTCATCCCTTTGCCGGCAAAACAATCACACTGCTACTTAATAAGGTAAAATGCAAAAGCTTCAGATAACTGTTTTCAGTTTCTATCTCTACCTTCCTATAAACTTAGAAACATTTTCCTCAAAGGTCTGTTGCTTGCTGTAGTGGTACACACCTTTAATCCCAGAATGCAGGTGGATCTCTGTGAGCTTTTAGTTTGCCTGGTGTATACAGTGAGATAGATAGATAGATAGATAGATAGATAGATGGATGGATGGATGGATGGATGGATAGATAGATAGACAGATAGATAGATAGGAGGTACTAGAGAGCCAGGCAGATTATATATACATATATACATATACATACACACACACACACACACACACACACACACACATATATATATATATATATATATATATATATATATATATATATATATATTAGAGAGCTAGTCAATATTCTAATATAGAGCAGGAAGAAGGTTCATAAATCCTCACCCCTAACTGAAGACGGCTGATGAGTTTTGGGAGAGTCAGTTTTATAAAAGGTTGTCTCCCCTTTTAGTAGACTTTTAGATAGATTGACCTCAACTACTCTAGTTCCCTTGGGTGACCCTACACACAGGAATATATGGGCAGTGGAAGTTGGACTAAATAATTTTTAAAAGAAGAAGACAAGATCCAATACATTTTTTAGAAAGAAAAAACCGAATCTGTTATCCTCCTGAAGTGGCCGAGCAAATGCTGAGCCAAGCCAAGAGCGTGTTGTGCTTTCTTCCCATTTTCCTCATTGTAACCCCAACGCCAACACTCTTACCTTCACAAAGCTCATCCGAATCGTGCACATCTTCGTCAGCTCATACACAACCTCAAAGCCGTGGTGCACTGACTGGGCGAGCAGCTGGGCGAAGAGCTGGTTGTTGAAGACCTTGAGGCTGCAGCCACTGGGGATCTTGCAGACAGTCGCCGGGTGGAAGCCGTGCTGGTAGTTGCAGTTTCGGCTCTGGACAAAGATGCTGCTGTCGCTCACACACTCCGCGTACACCTCGCCCCCAACATAGTACAAATGCACACCTGTGGGCACAAAACCACGCTCTTCCTTCTCTGCTTCCTTCTCAATGGCTCCCAGCACTTCACGCTAAGGGACCGCTACAGTCAAGTTAATCTCTACGTAATCACTGCCCATAGAAGAGAAGGTGCGTGTGCCCCTAATACCCACTTGTTTCCTTGGACTTTTCCTACAAATCCATTAAAAACCCAACCCCGACAGCTGGAGAGATTGCTCAGCTCCTAGCACCCAAGCTGAAGCGCACAACCATCTGTAATTCCAGTTCAGAGGATCTGTCGCCCTCTTCTGGCCTCCATAGGTACTACATACACACAGTATGATGTACAAACAGGGGAAACATTCATAAATATAAAATACAGGGAAAACCAAATTAAACCCGATCCAGATGTATGGCCATTCTCAAGAATGTTGACTTATGACTGCTTCCATCACTTTTGATCTTGCTCACTTCAAAATTAGCTTCCATGGTACTCGACACAAAAGAAACACACAGTGTAAAACCCTACAAAGTCCTTCATACCCCATATAAACAAAAGATGATAACAGGAGACCCAGCTAGTATTGTGGACACGCTATTGTAATCCACACACTACACCCGCGCCAGAGCTTGAAGAATCCTACTTACAGTTATAAATCTATCTCTTTGGCTCACACCTTTAATCCCAGCACTCAGTGGGCAGAAGCAGGTGAGTGAGAGCTGCTTGGCCTACGTAGTGTCCAGGCCAGCCAGGACTGTACAGTGAGACCCTGACTCAGAACTAAAATATATCTGTGTAGAGGCTTCAGGGAAATGTCGCTCACCCCTATAAATCACACATGTGCCCCTGAGAGACAGAGACATTCTCGACACACTCCCACATGCAGTCCTGTGTAAACACAAGCAACGTGTAGCTTTTATCTCTTTACCTAACATTCCTGGGATTGCATTTCGAAAGGGATGCCCTGAATAAATAAAGTGTGGTGCACACACACAACAGATTTTATTCAGCTGTAAGAAGCATAAATGCATGGAACTGGAGAGTGTCAGAAATAAATCAGACTCAAACAAAATCCTCCCTTCCCCCTCCCCAAATACCCTCTACTGCTACCCCTCCCCCAATACCCTCTACCACCACCCCTCCTTTCTCCTTCTCTCCTCTTAATTGCCCTCAGCTTTCTTCTCTGTTTTCTTCCATGATGGGCATCAGGCCTGACCCCGACAACTCAGGTACTAGTGACCATGAGGAAGTGGGAGGATTGGCTGGAACATAGCGCCTTTGCTGGACCCTCACAAGCAAAGCCAGGGCTGCCTCCCCTGGCCATGCTTGTATGCAATGGGGTGTGTGACAGTGATGGGACATTCAGGTGTATAGTTGAGCTCAAAGCAGCCTGTTCATCACTGTCCAGAGCTCCAGAAACTCTTCATAATTAGTCAGCTTTTAAAACGCTCTGCAGAGGAGAAGACAGCAGAGGCCCGGCCCATGCCAAGGGGCTACACTGCCACATAGCTCCTCACTTGTGGTTATCCAAGCTGAAGCAGTAGGGCAGCATTTATTTGTAGGGAAATGCACATTGCTCCCCCATTAGGCAGTGGCTGCCTGAACACTGTGTTCGGATGTTCCAGCACCCTGCCAAGCAACCTGGAGAACAGATCTACCCCAGGGGATCTTGACACTGACATGGGGTTCAAAGCTACTATATTGGTTGCATGGTGGGTCAAATGAAACCACGTGACCATGTGACTCCTGGAGAGTCACCTGTCTCTCCTGATATTCAGAGTTCAGTCTTGGGCTCCACTGTCTTTTCCCTCTAGAGACCCGCCTCCCTCTTCTCTCCTGTGCCAACTTGTGCTGGATTTGCTGATAAGGCTTTAACTTGAATGGAAACCACCCCCTAAACACACACAGACCAGGTTCGGATGACAAAAATCTTAGCTGTTGTGTGCAGTAGGTTCCGGGAGGATTATGCGCTTGAAGGTCATTTGGTTCAAATACCTACTAAGCCTGCAGTAGCCCTACTCTGGCTGTTACTCCCAGCTTACTGGTCTGGGGGACAGCATACAAGCGGGTCTCTGTGGTCCTCTTCTGCAATGGCAGATAGCACATGCCGGAGAGGGACTGTTGGAAGGCAGAGATGGCAGCATACCCCACTGCTCTACAGAGCACGGGATACACATGGAGGAGCCAGCATGAAAGGCTGCAGGATACCACTGCAGCCCAGAGAAACCCTGCTGTCCCTCCCCACTGTCCTTGGAGTAAATCCTCAGCCAGTGACACAGCTCACCCCTCCCTGGAGCTTGCACTTGGCATGGCCCTAGCCTCTGCTGCCTTCTCTTCTGCAGAGCGTTTTAAAAGCTGCCTAATTGTCAAGAGTGTCTGGAGCTCTGGACAGTGATGAACTGGCTGCTCAATTATACAACTGAATGTCCCGTCCCTGTCAATCACAGAGTTGGCTCCTCCTCCTGAGCTGTACCACACCACTCTCATTACTGCTTCGGATATCCAAAGTCCTGCACCATCCTCACACGAGAAAGGAGCCCACCAGAGGAAATTCATCGGATACAGTCAGGCCGTCTGGCTTCCTGGTGGCGTAGCATGCATGAGGTCCTGGGTTCTTAGTACAGCATAAAAGAGAAGCAATAAGAAAACACAGAAAAAAGTCAACCATAAACCCACTACCCAGAAATAATCACAGGTAATTAACCTCGGCTATACATCTTTAAGTCTTATGTGTTTATTTTGTATTTATTAAGTCATGGTCTCATGTAGCTCAGGCTAGCCTCGAATTTTCTGTGTAGATGAAGATGACCTCGCACTTCCAACGCTCTGGTCTCTACTGCCCAAGTGTTAGGATCACAGGCATGTAGCACCAAGCCTGGCTTTAAGGGCTGTTTTTTTAAAAAATAAATAAATAAATAAATAAATAAATAAATAAATAAATAAGAATCTATCCTGCAAGATGTTTTGAGGCCTTTTTCTTTCAGTAATGTACTGTGAATATTTATTTTCTCAGGACATGGCATGGTCTGCAGTATCAAAAAAATCAATATTTTTTCCACAGGATAACATCCTGTGCTGGTTTTGTTTTTGTTTTTAGAATTTACCTTTTTAAAAGGAAAGATGTTGGGTGGGCAGTGGTGGTGCATGCCTTTAATCTCAGTAACTGGGAGGCAGAGGCAGGAGGATTTCTTAGTTGGAGGCCAGCCTGGTCTACAGAGTTCCAGGACAGTCAGGGCTACACAGAGAAACCCTATCTCGAAAAACCAAAAGAAAAGAAAAAAAGAAAAGAAAAGAAAAGAAAAGAAAAGAAAAGAAAAGAAAAGAAAAGAAAAGAAAGAAAGAAAGAAAGAAAGAAAGAAAGAAAGAAAGAAAGAAAGAAGATGCCTTACAAGGGGCTGGGGTGAAGGCTCGGCAGAGCACTGGCTGCTTTTGCAGAGGACCTGGGTTCAGTTTCCAGCACCCACAGAGCGACTCACAACCATCTGTAACTCCAGTCTCAGGAGGATCTGACACCTTCTTCTGGTGCAAATACATATATGTAAGTACTCACACATACACATAAAACTAAAATAAATCTTAAAATACACATATAATAATAGTAATAATAATAATAATAAACACTTCCATTGAATAACTTCATCCTGCCTTCATAATTACTGTGGGCTTCATTTGTTGGTTTTTGTAGACAGGCCCTTCTATATCTCAGGCTGGTTAGCCTCCTGCCTCAACCTTTCTAGTGCTGGGATTACAGGGCTGGGCCATGACATTTGGCCCTTTATGATATCTTGTCTTCACAGCACTCACCCCAGGCCATCCCTGAAGATAGTTTACTGACTTTAGAGGCAAAGAGATCCCAAAAGAGCACATGTCCCCATCCAGGGGTGACACTGTGCCTGGGGTTCTTCCCATAGGACTCCTACACGACCACTGGCTTCTGTGAGATCAGAAACAGCAATGGAGACATGCAGCTGGTTCTCACCCTTTCCAATGTGCCTCCTGGTGTTTTCTATCGTCGAGTTTCTGTTTACATTTGAAAGAAGCCCAAGACAGAACCTATTCCTGTTATTGGAGGGGTCAGTGAAGCCATCTATGAGCACACTCCGGGAGGACGCCTGGAAAGTCTCTCCGACCCGGTTGTTTAGTTCATAGTAGGCAACAGAACACCAGTGCTGAGGTTCCTCATAGCAAACTGGCCGGAAGTCTGAAAGAAAACAGAGAGAAGGTGCCACACCACTGTCACCTCTGGGCTCCAAAGCTCAAGATTCCAACAGGAAGGGGAGACTATCGCTTTAAACCAGAATGTTAACTGTTGGGCCTTTGCAGTCCTTCACACTCGAGTGTTTGAGGGAAGCTGTCTTGAGCTAGCTCATTTGTTTATTTATTGCATCCATGAGTTTAAGGCCATGGCCCACGTTAATTTCCACAGCAATGGCATCTGTAAACATTCTTGTTTACAGGTGTAATGATAAGAGGGGCCTGGGAAAGACAGCATGGACAGATTGATGTAAAATGTTGCCAGTCCCAGAGAAAACACAGCTAAGAGAGAGGTAGCAGGTCGCCTTATCTAGAGAAAAAGACGGCATCCTGTTGTTACAGAGCTGAACTGAATCCCAGTGTCAAAAGCTGTAATTCTGCAATAGAGTAATGACAAAAAAAAAGTTTGAATATGATAACAAACCAAATCGAAAGCACTGAATGAATTATATTCAAGGGGAAAAAGTCTATATAGAAGGGATCACATTCTCTGAGTGATACACAGGTAACTCTGTACATGTAATGTAAGTGTATTCTAAGAAGAGCTGGCTTCCCAGCTTGGCTAGGGTCTGTCCGTGGATGGGAAGAGGACAGAGAACATCCTCCTGTTAGTGTAGCCTGGTGGAATCCAGCCAGTACAGGTGAGCTTTTTACAGGGCAGGCGGGTGTTATGCAAATATGTAACCTGCAGTATAATTACTCTGTCTTTTAGCCACTGGCCCCAATGCTATGTTTCAAACACTGCAATAAGAAATGACTGAGCAGGCTTTTCGGGCTCTTAGCTGGCCACAGAGGATTGAGTGACACTATACAAGGCATACGGTATACAAGGACCTTGCTAAGAGAAAACACTAAAGACACCTTGAAGGAAGATGTTCCTCCTTATAGCAGCACGTCTTATAAGTTCTTGCTTATAAAAGCAAGCTTGTTAATCTCTTAATTCTGTCTCAGCACCCTCAGACAAGGCTTACATATAGTGAGAGTTTGTGAATACCCATTAAATAAGAGGATTTACAAATAAAACGGTAAGGCAAACTGTAACTGTGGGCCCTGGCTGTGTGTATGCAGGCCTTAGACTGTAACTGTGGGCCCCGGCTGCGTGTATGCAGGCCTTAGACTGTAACTGTGGGCCCGGCTGTGTGTATGCAGGCCTTAGACTGTAACTGTGGGCCCGGCTGTGTGTCTGCAGGCCTTAGACTGTAACTGTGGGCCCCGGCTGTGTGTATGCAGGCCTTAGACTGTAACTGTGGGCTCCGGCTGTATGTATGCAGGCCTTAGACTGTAACTGTGGGCTCCAGATGTATGTCTGCAGG